TTTTGCCCGCCCCCCCCCCCCCCCCCACCCCCATTACAGACATTAATTAGTTTCAATGATGCTACTTAGGAGCTTGGTTAATTAGGCTAGCATTTCTTCTTTTTCACTATTACACAACCAAATAGTTTGAGCATGGAGACAGATAGAGCTACTAATATAGAGAGACGATAAGATGAATGATATTATATGATTTTCCATGATATTACCCATTGTGAACAGTTAAGTGAAAATCAACAATTTAGCGAGATTTAATCGCACGATTAGCCGGACAACCAAAACGCGATATAAGTACAATTTTGATAAAAATCGTGACTAATCGTCTAAACTGCGACGATTTCGAGGACATGAGCAAACACTAACAACCAAGGGGACTACCATTGCAGACCATCACAACTAGATTAGTCCAGTATTACAGGCCATAGAAACCAACCTAGGCTATCATTACAGACATCACCCACTTACAGACACCATCTTGCATTACAGATATTAGGACGCATGCAAAAACTAAATAAGACATTTTTGTGAAACACGATCTGAAAAGAGTGTTGAAGTATATAGGGTAGAAATTTGAACCAGTCCCCGCTCCTCCCCCCCCACAGACCGTGACAGAAAAATTAATTAATTAGTTAGCTGGCTAATTAATTAATTAATTTCTCTGTCACGGTCTGCGATGGTTTCTAAACTCTCTGTAACGGTCCGCGATGGTCTGTGATGGTATCTGAATTCTCCGTCATGGTCTGAGATGCATTTTGAATTCTCTGTAACGGTCTGTGATGATTTCTGAGGTCTCCGGCACGGTCTGTGATGGCTTCTGAAGTCTCTGTAACGGTCTGCGATGGTCTCTAGAGACTCCACATACCATAATACAGACCGTAGCAGAGAAGCTCCACAGACCATCACTGACCGTGGTAGACGGATCCGAGAAAAAAACCTTTATCGTGTTTCACATTTTAATCCCACAGGGATTGCGCTAACAGCTTCCTTTTTTACCGATCGATTTTCTTGCACCAAATTTTGCACCACACATTGTGTATAAGTAAATTAGGCAAAAAATCATATGTGTGTCTCACATTTTAGCCCCAAAGGGGCTGCGCTAACAAGCGTTTTTATTGAACATGTTGAATATCGTCAAAATAAAGTTACCATACTATGTCTCGTATATAAGAAAATATGCTATTTTTGGGAATAATTCTACACTCTGACAGTAAACCCCTACTGCTCCAGAAAAAGTGAACTGTAAAATATAGAGTCTATTATTCGACAGTTTTTAAGAAATTTCCACATTGATACGCACTTGTTCTTGCAACACAAGGTTAAGCACACTAAAATGCTATCTAACGGGTGGGTCAGAAAAAATGGCGGTGTCACTATTTCCTCAATAACTTCTACATTTTTCATTTTCTAGGCTTGGGTTTTTTCCAAAAGATCCGTCATTCAATTTTCTACAAGATCCGTATGAAGCATTTTTCTGTACAAAGCGAAACAGAAATATGAGAATAAGAATACTCGACACGTTCGAAAGAACCAATTTTCTTAGCAATTTTTTAGCTCAACTGCAAAATCTTTTTTCCAATACCATAAACAACGAAGCAAAAGTGAAGAAGTTCTTGAGCACTTTCGAAGCCGCTCTTTTTTGTTGTGTAGCTCAAAGTTCGTTCAAAGCAAATTGTAGATCGAAAAATCTAACTTTTGAAAATTCTATTCAAAATGGCTCAAATCTGATATTTTTCGCCAGAGAAATCGAAGTAGCGAATTTTATGTCAAGTTTCGTATCTGAATTTGGTATAGTAGTCATCTGCCATCAAAATAAAGAAAATCTGAATCAAAAAGATGCTATTTTGACCTATTTATCTATCTTTTCACAAGAGCACCGAAACTGTAGAGAGAAATGGCTAAATTATCGAAACACTGAAAAACAAGAATATTTATATACATTGCAAGATGCGTACAAAAATTTTCAAACTATCATCAATTAAAAGAGGTTTTCAAGGGCTACAGAGTGCCTATATTGTTTTATTTTTGTAATAAATGGCCAATGAAAAACTCTGATAGAATGATTTTTCAACTTCGAAAGTACGTCCTTTTGGACATGTTGAGTATTCTTATTTTCATATTTCTGTTTCGCTTTGTACAGAAAAATGTTTCATAAGGACATCGTAGAAAATTGAATGACGGATTCTTTGAAAAACCCCAAGCCTAGAAAATGAAAAATGTAGAAATTATTGAGGAAATACTGATACCACCATTTATTCAGGCCCAACCGTTAGTCACTACATCGCAAAGGCCTACAGAAAACAGTCATGCATTAGAACGGAGAAAATATCGATGAAAATTATGGCTCATAGAAAATTGAAGAATACCGATAACTGAATCGAACTGAGTTTAAAAGAAAAATGGTACAAGTTTATTTTAAAATATCCCAAAGAGTCGTAATGTCCAGAATATCATATAATATCCTTCCAGTATTATAACAAGTGTATAGACTGATCAAATCAAAATCCTAAAAAAAACTTAATTTATTATGTACAATTTGATGCACTACATGCTGCTCTACCAAACCATATGTAGCACTTCTTGATTCGAAATAACTCAGTAATCCGACCGGGTCCTTTGGTGATTAATGAACTTGATGAGCCTAAGAAGTATGCAATGTCGCGTCAATATCACATGTACCCTGTCGAAGTTACGCTTTTGAGAGAGGCCTCGTTAAATAAACATTAGCTGGCCGAGCAACTTTAATTCGATGAATTGAACTAAAGTCATCGCATGCTCAAATATAAATTCATTGTGCTAGATTTTCTGTAAGAATATTCGTGATTATATCTTAAATACGCAATTTCTTACAGCAAAATAATTTTATTTATTAATTAATTCAAATTCTTGCAACTCAATTTGGTGGTCTTTGTTTTATTGGATGAATACTTTTTCAATCAATGTCAAATTTGACGAAATTTAAAAGATAAATTTAGAAATAAGAAAGTATTTACCCATACGAACTGTGATAGAAGAAACATTGGGAAATATTTCGTCAAGTTTTTCAAGAAATATATAAAGTGATGGATGAAAACTAATCGAAATATGTCGAATATTTGGCCATTCAAAAAGATACGGATAATTACTGAAATAAAAAATAATTGGAGGAAGAACTGATAGAAATTCTCATTAAGAAAAATTTCTTACACTAAACCATTAAAGAATTGAAGTGTAGTATTGATATTTGTAGAAAATAAATGTTGATATGATATTGTTGGATCATAAAAATATCTTACATTTGTCCACTGACAATTAATGAAAAGCGGATGAAATTGGAATGAATTGAGTATTTCTCCAGCATCAATTGATAATACTTCACAATGAGAACAAATATAAAAATCAAAATCTATGATATTAGTTATTATATCAGGTAAACAATATTGTCGAACAAAATTTGCATCGATAAAAGATTTCCATATTGTTTGATTTGTTCCATATAATTCTCCACTTCCAAGATGAAGTTTCAGATTTTTAACATGATTGATATTGTTGAGAAGCCATTTTAAGTAGACAAATTCCCAATCATTTCGGATGAACGTTTTTAAAGTAAAATATCGTAGTTTTGACACCTATTATTAGAAAAATTAATACAATTTTTTAAATTCTATCACAATAAAAATATTGAAGAATTCCATCGTTTGACTTTTGCAATCTGTTGATTATATTATAAATGCATATAATAAAAAGAACTGAAAGAATTATCGTTATTAAATTGATTATAGCTCAACTTTTCTTCTCATTTATGTCGACATCAAATATATAATTATAAAATTTTTTGAATATGATACTACTTTTTCTGTTTACACAATTTAGAAATATTAAAAAAAAAGATCAATTGTAGCAAATATTTAAAAACAAATTCTATTAAATAAAGTCTACAATACTTCAGATGAACAGGATCTTTTGAAATTCTGAGGAATGAAAGAAAGACTAATAATAATAATAATACTAAAAACATGCAATAATTTATTCTTAATTAGAAATAGAAGCAATCCTATGTACTAGATTTTCATATCAATATTAGAACGCTTTTCTACATGATCAAAAACTCTACTGAATATACTAAACTTAGTATATCTTCTTATTAAAATGTCATTAGAGTTTGTAATCATTTGAATATCTTATCATATCTTAGTTATGTCAAGTATCTGAGCATGTCATGTTAATAGAGCCCATCGGGTTCACAATTTTTGGATTCGAATCCGATTCGTACTCATCATATTCTCAATGAATTTTTGAATTTAAATTCGATAGTCGCCCGAAGATACGAGATTCTTTTCTCCATCATTTAAATTTAGCAACCAGCACGCCCTCTGCATTTCTCTAGAAATCTTGACTGCGATTTCATGAGAATAAACATCTAATTGGCTATTATTTTTACAGCACCAGCTGTCTAGTTGAATCAGGATCTGACAGAGTCTAAATGCCAATCTGCTTTGTAATGCTCAATCTTCTATTCAAAGTAACTGCTAGTATTTTTAAAGATTTCATCTACCTTAAACTAAATCTGAAATTCATTAAAATAAAGTATTTTTGCTCAGATTAACACATTTGACGAAAAGACGTATGAAATTGTTTTTAAAGAATTGACCCTAATAATGGCGTATAACTTCCAAAATTAATACGAAACATATTGACCATAAATAGCATATCTATTCATACTCATTGTATACGTAATGATAATAAAGAAAACAATAAATAATGAACATATCACAATTTGATTGAAATTTTCAAGAACGATCTTCCACATCTTTCCTACAAATTTTTATGAAACATGATCTAAAAGGATGTTGAAGCGGATAGAGATCGAAATTTGCACCCGCTCCCAGTCCCTCTCTTACAGGCATGACAGACATCCTTACTAGCGCACCACCACAGATCGTAACAGAAATCTAAATCACCACCTTTACAGCGGCAGCACCTTCATCGTATTTGACATTTTAATTTCTCAGGGATTGCGCTAACATGTTTTTACTGTATCCAAACAAAATTGATATTTTTTTTTTGAATAAATGATTTGGATTAAGATGTATGTAGTTGGATGAAATCTTCAAAATTTTCTGCAGTATCTTTGCTCTACTCTTCACATGAAATGCAAAGCTACTTCTTTTGCTTGTATTATACCTATACTAAGTACATTTCATTAAGAATATTCGACTAATTGTTGTTACATATTGCTGTCAGAGTAACTTTTCAGGCAATTTGTTATAAATTAACAGTTCCGCAGTTTGTTTAGAGAAATAAAAAATAATCCGTACCTAAATCTTTTACTATTTTATTCTGTTAAAACATCATAACTTTTTATAACAAACTTTTATTTTCTTTTGCGTTTGATTACAATTGACAATATAGATTTATTTTTCTACGAACTATACAATGATTATGCGCCTCAAAATCGTAGTTATATCAGAGAAGAACACAATGGAGAAACAGGATTTCTCTAAATCATAATATCAATTAAGATAAAGAAAACTATATCATTTCTCAAGGGGTCTACTCTTTTAAAACATAACAATTTCAATGCGTCTCATTGATAATATAAAAAACGATAATTTACATTTAATCCTCATATCAACATTGGAGACACGCGCGGATTCCACCCAATTTCATTTTAATATCATGCATATATAGCATGAGCTCGAACATTGTCTTTCTAGATGTCTCAGTAGCACTTAGTAGATTACGCTAAAATGATCAACCGATTGAGTGAAAACGTTCTTTTCATGATTAAGTAGTGCAAATTCCAAATAAACGCTTTGTTTTATCATCCGAGATTAATCCAAACCTCAATGGTTTCAAACTTGATGCTACACATCTATAACAGCAGTGAATCTCCGTTTGTCTCTCCTGTGGTAATAGAGCAGCCAAACCATCCACGAACGCTGGATTTGAGACATACGATTGAAAATACAACGAAAATGAGAAAAAGATAAAATAAGCTGCTACTAAAATCGATCACTTTTTCATTTGCCCTTTGTGCAATCAAAACTCTTTTATAACCTTCACACTTTCATTACTACCTAATAGTAATTTCGTACACTATTGTTGTTTTATGAAACTGGATTCGTGCGGATCTCAGATGAGATTCATAGGTGGTGCTACAAAGGTTAATTTATTTTTCATGAAAAATGTCATGAATAGATTTTGCTGTTGGAAAAAGTAATATCTAACTTACAAATTAACATACACTATTAGCTTTTATATATAAGCAATTTAAATAATTCAAGTTTTATAGCGTCATCTAATTTTTACGCGAAATAAATTTTAATCAAATATTTTCCAATTGAGAAAACATTTTGCGAAGAAATAATCAATGATATGAACACGTCATTAAGAAATGAATTCTATATGACAGTTTGTCTTTTACTCATGTACCTTTATTTTTATTAAAAGAACAAATAAAGCAAAAATATGTCTTACTTTATTACACCAATCTCCATTTGATTGACTCAATTTTTCAATAAATGCTCCAGAGCGCGGTTCAATATCTAATGATTCATTAAATTTGATCGATAATCGCTCAAGAGCAGGCATATATTCAATAAGATGTTCAAGCAAATATGTATATTTTATGTGAATATGTAAGCGAGACAGAGTTGTACAATAAGATTGAAATTCATTGAAAATTGGATTTTGAGAAGAATGAGAGAATAATTCTGTACACTCATCAGTGTTATAACCAAGCTCATAATTACCAATATCAAGTTGAAGAGAATTCAATTGACATTGAGACGAGAATAATTGACGTAGAAAACGATTGAATATGTTTAATAGGTTTCCTATAATTTGGGAATAAAAATAAATAGTTATAATTGAGGAAAAAAGTATTGTTTTTTCTAAATAAAATGTTTATTCTTATCTATAAAGGATGTGACCATCATAGAGCGATGGTGCACATCTCTGCACTTTCGGAAGTGTATATTCACCTTAACAATTTCAAGCAAATTTCTTTTGCACGCCCTTTCCCACTTTTTGTCTCTTCCCCAAGTTCCTGTTATTTTTTAAACACCTTATTTTACGTTTATTCAATTAAATGAAAACTATTTATGAAAATTGCAGTTTTAGATCAATTTATCTATTAAAAATCAAAAATTTCTAACCCACGAGAAATCAGTTATATCATAAAAAACAAAACTTACGCTTTTCTCAAGATCACTTTATTCTTTTTAACGTATATCGTTATACATTCACTCTTACATCTGTATCTCTATGCTTCTATCCTGACTAACATGCTTTATTCCAAGATAACTGCACTATTAAACATAATTTATACTCTTAACATCATATCCTTAGAGCTATACTTTTACCTCTGTATTCATAGGCATGTACTATTTATTTACATGTATCTTTACCTCTATACCGTTAAGCATACAGCTGTAAGTCAGTAAACTTACCCCAATACTCTCAAACCGTTAATCTGACTCCTATGCTCTCCTATGCCATCACTATAATTGCTATACTTTTATATCGACACTTTAATACTCATAGCGTTGCTTCTTCAAACTTTTCTTGTTCGCCACATTACTCTATTTTGTCTCATTTGATCGCTTCAGTCTTCTCTCTTATTACTACACATTATTAGAGCCATAAGTATTTATACGTCTAAATCGGTATAGACTTTCTCTTTGACTCGTTCATTTTTATACGCCTTTATATATTTATACATAAATATCAACATTTGAATACATGTTCTACATAATCATAAAGGACTGAGTTTGGCTGAAAAGATCGAAATTTCAATATGAATCAAATGCTGATGAAAATTCTTGTACAAGAATCATCAAGCATTATGAATAAAAAAATTTACGCCTACTTCACTCATGCGTTTCGCTAGAATAGTAAGTGTTAGTATTGATCGATCCCACCTCCCTTCGCGACGCAACCAGTAGACCAAATATTCTAAGTTTAATCAGTCTTTTATCAATTTCGAATCTTCAACATCGAGAATATTAACAACTGTAACATTAATTAGAAATTATTAGAACTATTGATGACATCAAGGTTAACAGACAGGTTTATAACGGTACAAAAATAAAAATAGAGATGAAAATACAGTCACAATCTTAAAATCGATATTCTTTGAAAATGAATGAATTTCTTACATGGTGTGATCAAATCTCAACTTAATTGACGAATAAGAAGAATATATTTTAACAAATAAAAAAAAATGATGTCATAACTGCATGTTGATGTAACAAATACCGATTTCAATTTATTCAGTTTCATCAATACTTCCAGCACAGTTCATGTAACGAAACTTATCTTAAATAATAATTCTTTTGTTTACTTTTAATTTAAATTCGATTTCTAACTTTAAATGGTTGTAATCATTTTTTTATTAATTTTCACATAATTCTTTTCACATGAAAGTCACTTTAGACAAAACTAACAACAACCGAATACGTGATAAAATGTTTCCTTTAAGTTTCTGTTCTTTATAAACGTTGATCAGTCGAAATTTTATCATTTTACTAACGCTGTATTCGTTAACAGACATAATGATTCTACCCGAAAAATTACTAAGTTTCCTAAACTCTTTACGAAAGTTTGCAATATATTTTCAAAGTATAACATAATTTTCCATGCACTCTTTCTTCTGTGTATAATCATTTAATGGTCCACTGCTATATTCCTTGGATTTTGGTTGTAATTAGGGATCTGTAAGACGGTCCCAGAACGAGATTAAAAATAGGTTGTCTTTCAGATTCTTGTACATAATACCCGAATAGTTCTCATCAAGAAAACATCGGAGAGAAAAAAATAGTGTTCTGCACACAGATAAAAACAGAGACATTAACATTTCCAAGACGATGGAACCCACTGCAGGGTAGTCCAAAAGCTCATTCATCGCAGAACTTAAATATTTTTGCCATACTTTGACTAAGAAGATTGATTCTTTTACTGCTGATAAAAGAATGCTCGTAGCTCATATTAAAAAGGGAAACGTTGATAAAAGCTGTTTTGAAGTACTACAGTTACTATAAATAAAGAAATGAAACCGATTACGAATTATAAAAAAAATAATATTCAGAATGAGTTTATAAAAGAAACATTTTCATATGAAGATGTATAATGAAAAATATTTCTTTTCAATATTGAACTCATTTCATTTTTCTTGATTAAAGTATTCAAAGAATCAATAATTACTTGTGTAGTTCCTTGTCGCCAATCTCTTTTCATATAGAAAAGAACTGAACATTTCTGTATCGAATATTAATGTAAGATCTTCTAATTGATTTTGAATAAGTAACGATAAATTTTCGATTAAGGATTCAGATAACCAACATTGAGTAACAGTAAGTGATTTAAGATTTGAAAAGCGAAGAATTTTTTTCTCGTTATTATTTTGAAAAATCCATTCATAATTAATATCACAGGCCATTGAATTTGTTCCATCAAAACATATATTTCGAATAGAAGAACAAAAAGCTAATGATGACGAATGATTAAGTAATGATAAGAATTTGGAATAACATTTGTTATAAGATAAACCTGGTTCTTTAATAGCAATGCCATTTTTTCGTTTATCATTATTTATTGAAACAACTGAACAAATAAGATAATTTATACGATTATTTAATGACCATAAAGAATCTAACATTTCTAGCCATGATAAATACGAAAATATAATAATAAAAATTTCGTTTGGTAATGTTTCAAATGTATATTTCATTTTATCTAAAACAATTCTTTAGGAATGAAAAAAGTATTTTCTCCTTTTTTTCCTTATATTTAATCAAAATAGTGTATAGAATAAGAACGTAAAAATAAATGAAGAAAAAGATTATTGTAATGCTTTTCATGTAATATAATCGCATTGAAGTTTAAAAACATTTTTCAATATGACAAAATAAAATAAACCTTTTAAATATAAACAAAACGAACTTGTTTATTAAATAAGATGTAGAAAAAGCTTTTTTGTTTTTTCATTCTAAGTTTATACAAATCTATAAAAAAAAATATCCATCGTCTATCTTCAGATCCATTAGGTAAAATACAGCTGCAACATACTTTATCTAAAGAATGGAATTCATTACTTCTTCGAAACTATAAATTCTATTACAATTACAAATAACGAAGTTCGATCTTAATTTATGTGAATATCGAAAAAGTACGCATGGAATGAGATGGGATCTGGAACAGAACAAACCCTTGTGAATCTCACTTTACCAACACTTATCCACGCCCACTATTAGCCACAACGGATCACAGATACATTCTTTCTCCTTGAGAATTATGGTAGCAAAGATCATGTCATGAATCTTCTTTTTTAAGTGAGTAATTAGTAGAAAAGAATGAGAATTTCTACGAATCTCACAGAAGAAATAGAACAAGAAATGACCTAAACTAAATATATAGAAATAGAGCCTATCGGATCCAAGAATTCTTAGCTCTGAACTCACAGATTAAAATGTGTTGAATTGGGATCCGTCTAATCAAATTGTTTTTGGTCGGGGATCTGGACTTAGTTGAGCATATCCTATCCAAGGATTTTTAGGATCCAGACCCAGCCTCGACCGAGTCCGATCCGATGGACTCAATACACAAGGCCATTAAAGAGAGAAAATAAATATCTGTATCTGCTATACTTTGCCTTTTGACCTTAAGTTCTAAAGTAACAATTACCAAATCACAGGTGTATTAGTAAAACTAATGTAAAATAAAATCGGAAAACTAAAAAGATCGACAATTCGAGTTACTACCATGAAGAAAAACGAAAAGAGAAAAGCATATAGAGAATAATGAAGAAACTAACTGTATACACGAAGACACATAGATATGTTAGTGTCCAAACTGACAGTACGTCCAATCTCAGATTGGCCTAGGCGAATCTCGAATCCGAAATTGGACGCGTCCAATGTCGGATTGAGTGGAAATTTGTCATTAAAACGTGAATTAGTCTCTACATCGTTGTAGGACTCGATTTTCTACTTATGAACTTCGATGAAGTATCATCATATCAGGTAACGTAATCATCAATAAACGAATAAATTAAAGGCTCGAGGAGTTATGGACACTTTTCAATCTTGAGAGTGAGGATGTGAAGGCATGGGTTACCCTGATCATAATTCATCAATAAGAATTTGAATTCTATACCGATGTACAGACTAATTCACGTTTTAATGTTAAATTTCCGCTCAATCCGACATTGGACGTGTTCAATCTCGGATTCGAGATTCGTCTAGGCCAATCTGAGATTGGACGTAATCTCAGTTCGGACGCTAACAGATATATATATGATAAATGGCTGTTATTACTATTCTCTAACACTATTTATCTTGTAAGAGAAAATATCCTTCTCAATAAACATGTAAAATATTAAAAGATAATCATTGGTTGTTTTCTACATACATTTAGAATTTATATTAAATGAAAATATCTGCAAACACAACAGGATCACGTTAATTTTAATAGTTTTGCTAAGTTTTCTGTATTTATGCAAAACCTTGGATAGTAATTATTTTGATATAGTTGGATAGAGCATCATTTACTTTACCGAACTATATAGTTTTTATTTTATCTGTTCGATATCTCAACCAAAAATTTGATAAAGCCCTAGAAGTATTGAAATTAAAGTTTTGCACCCATATTTCAGCAACAGTAATTTCAATAGTAATGAGAGAATCACTTTAGATATGAGAGATCTATCTCAATTCCTCGTGGAAAAAATATGAAATAAAACAAATTCAGAATTAAGGAGAAGATTGAATTATACTGTTAAAATTAGGTCCACTTTTCCAATTATAAAAAATCTAGCTTATAATATTTAAAAAAATTCATCTGTAAGACCGAAGGTCAATCTAATCAAAATTATATAAATCTATTGAGAAATCGACACTCTATCCAACTGTATCAAAACAAGAAACTTCTCACAGTTTGTTGAAATCCGGCACACTGAACAAAACTATTAAAAATAATGTAATCAACCTGTATTTTTCAAAAATATCAATAAGTTTATAAAACAATAAAGAATAAACTCAATGAAAAATGTACAGTTCGATAGAGAAACAAACAGTCTATTATTCAATATAAAAATAAAAGTTTCAGTATCCCATTAAAAAGTATTCATCAAGCAAAACTACCTGAGAAATGGCCTAAAAATTAATGATTAAAAGTCTTTTTGACGCGCGTTTCGAAATGCATCAAATTTTCGGACAAGTTTTACAGTAAACCAAATAAAAACTACATAGTTCGATAGAGTAAATGATGCTCTACCCAACTGTATCAAAATAATAACTATCCAAGGTTTTGTATACATACAGCAAACTTAACAAAGCTATCAAAATTAACGGAATCATGTTGTATATAAAATAATTATTTTTGTTTGCTCGACCAGAATGGCTTATCTAAGCTACTACATATATATATATATATATAATTGAAAGCAGCTAAAAATTCTGCTGTGTCTATGAGAAAACAAACCTTTAGTTGAAAATTAATTTTTCAGCCATTAGAAAAATTTTTTAAAGAGACGCAATATTAGAGATTCATTTATAATAGAGAAGAGAAAAATATTCCTCTTTCTTTTTCTAAAATAATACGAACCAATCTGACGAAAAAAGGTCACACCGGCCTAATCTCGTCAACCATAGGATAGTCTATTTTTTATTTGATCAAAATGTTATTACATTTCTGTATTTGACCTAAACGAAAAGGAAAGAGAGGCAAGAAAAAATTGTGAGTTATACTTTCGTGTTCACTTTTTTCATTGAATGATGTTTTATTTGAATAGCAAATTAGTCACATGTCTAATAGGTACGGTACTACTGTAGAATAGCAGCGCGTTTCGTTTTAACCGTCACAAGTAGCTCTCTAATACAAATCGAGCTCGAAAACAAATTAGAACCCATTTTTAAAAATAATAAAAGTTCATTTTAATTTATCGTTTATAATAAATGGGATAAGTGACGATTTTCTTTAAAGCTAGCAAAAACTAATTTCTTTGTATTTACTGTTTATGAGAAATACGATAAATGTTCAATTTACTGTAAGTTTAAAAACAAAAAAATACTGTTTTCGTTGATCATTTATTATGGAAATCGATGTCATGTATGCCGTGTATAAGACTTGTAATCGGTAACGGTGGTCGACCGGTATACTGGTCAGTTGACACTACTTTCTCTTTCTACTCAGTCTAGATCGATGTGGGTGTACAGGGTTGATTTCCAGGGTGAAACTCACACCCAGAACCAGACCCATGTCCCACCCTATGAACAATAAAACTATGAACTAAGTTTTTCTTTGCATGTGTGTCAATCCGTATGCTTTTCGCTGTTCTTGTATTTCTACTAATAATTTATTGTTTCTGTTCGTATGCTTTTAATACGCATTATAATATATTATCCCAGCGTCAATTGCCCTAGTCATACATAAGAGGCACAGAATATAAGCGCACAGTATATGATTTTCAATGTGTTCCTTCATGCACCCTTTTGTAAAGAAAAATTGATAATCATTTCAAAACAAAAGACGAAGTCTTCGTTAATCGTACAATTGTGTATTCATGCTGGTTGATCCTTATGGAATAATTTTAATTTATAAATCAAGCATTTGAGTATTTGGAATGAAAAGATATTGTGGATTCAAGACTTTTCATATCGTACACCATTTTGAGCATATCAGGAAATTCTTTTTATTTTTTTTCGCCGTTTGGTTTAGATTTTAATGGGATGACATCCCATAAGTTAACTAACTATTGATACGATATATAGTAAATGTACAACATCAAAGTAAGTATTTGAGAATACATGTAATAAGAAAAAGCGATAATATGAATGAAAACCATGGGTATCAGAGTACTTAGAAGTACTCTGTTTGTTTCGGAAAGAATATAGAACAGTAATCCAATAATAACTTCTTTTTTTTTGTTCTGGAAGTAAATATGAAGTCTACGATTCTCGAACGATATGCATTCATGTTTTCGTTTTTGACAGATTATTATTTAAAAAGAAATGTTAATGTTATATGTGAGCACAGAAAAATATGACGAAAGATCTCGTCGTTAGTGTACGTAGTATTCTATTCGAAAATCAATACCAAATCATTCCGATTCTATCCTTTTGTTTGAAATAGGTTGACGTTCTCAAGTATGAAAATAATCTAAATTAAATCATAGAAAGATACAGGAATAGTCTAATGTCCTTCGTATAAATTGGCGTATTATTGATGATCTATTCGCAGTAAGAACAGAATGATTTAGAAATTTTGTTTTCCACTAATTAGATTTCGGATCTAGTCCTCAACACATTTATATGATTATTTACGGATGTTCGTTATTAGGTCAATGTGTTACATAGGAAAAACAGATAAAAAGTATTTCTACTTCACAAGTAGTTTGTGAAAAATCTCATCGACGAATTCAACTAAAATTTGTCCCTATTTAACAGTAATCGAAAAGAGATGAAATCGTAGTTTATTCGAATGAAGAGAGAGTTAAGCAATTCATATTAAATACCCGTAATGGAATGATTTATTCATCAATGAATTCTGCTTGAGTGTAAGTATGGCACAACAAAATACTGTTGTTTTTCTTCTAAATTTATCAATACACTTTGTTCACTTCGATTTAGTTTCTAATCTTCTGAACAGCAATATAAAATGGAAGATACGACAGATCACTATCTCAAAAGAATTTTCTTTCAAGCACTAAAGACCAATGAGTTAAAGGAAAGA